TTTTTTAATGATGATTTTGTTAAATAAAAGGGGAAAAAACATCCAAAACAACCTGGTCTTATTGGCCTCGTTAAATTGTGAATTAACTGGGATTAACCACATTTTTGGAACACTGAGTTCAATTTCACAACCCACATTCAGACCAGGCCACCTGTAGAACCACGAAATTCCTTAAATAGAGCCGTTATCCACTAATGGCGACAGTAGAACTGTGGTGAACCGTCCCTGGAGTGGTTGGCGGTCCAAGACTCCAACCAGGAGGTCCCAAAAGATCTCAGAACTAAAACACTGCAGGCCTCACTTGCCTCAGTTAAGGTCAGAGTTCAYGATTCAACAATAAGAAAGCAACAAAATGGAAAAGTCCCAAGATGAAAACCACCAAGGAAAAAAAAACATCACAAAGGTCCATCTCACTTTTGGCCACCGAACAACTTGATGATCCCCAAAAACTGTTGAGAAAATATTGTGCAGACTTGCAAGATAAAAGTAGTTTCTTAGATGTTTGGGTCCTAAAGGTTTCACAGAGTTTAAAATTTAAAAAGAACATACTGACAGTTACACACACAGTGGTGGGAGTGTGATGGTTTGGGACTGTTTTTGCTGCTTCAGGACCTGGATGACTTGTTGTAATTGATAAAACTGTCAATTTTGTTTTCTGCCAGAAAATTTGGAGACTAAATATCTGGCTGAGCTCACTTAGGTTCTGCAGCAGGACACTATGATCCGAATCACAGCAGCATCATTCCTCCAGTCATATGATAAACTCAGAACCATTATTAGCTTTAGGGAGACAATTTGTCAAAAAGGGCCACTTTGATTTGATGATCTAAAACATTTAATTGTGGGGAGAGAAAAAAAAGCAAAAACAGAAGTATAGAGCCATATTTGCTTTGTGTTACTGGTGACATTAAGAGACTAATACAGTTCTGGTAAATTAACATAAACACATATTTTCTCAAGAGATTTTTGTCAGTTTTTGTACGTCTGATGAGGTTTTTATTTTGAAAGGCCCAGCAGGAAACTCATCCTTTCGATCTGTCTTGCTTGTCTGGCGCTGGAGTGAAGGTGCAGCCCCCCCTCCATCACTGCTATCAGATCCGCTGCTGCTGCTGAGGTCTCTGAGCTCTCCTCCTCCTCCTCCCATCTCCTACTTCTTAATGGGGGGCTGCATGCCGCGGTGAAGTCACAGTGATGTCACTTGGGATGTGAGAGAGTTGGGGGGCAAGGTGTGCTGGGTTTGCGTTCAGTGGTGTCCCCCCCACCTCCACGGCCAGCGGAGCGGCGAAAGATGGTCATCGCCACCGGCACCAACTCAAGCTCCGACACGTTCCGTCCTTCACCTCCTGCTCAGATTTTGGGCTATGGCCTTGATCCCAAAATAAGCCTCTGCCGCCACCATGCCAAAGGACAGGGAATAAGAAGAGTTCCGTTTTTCGGGCAGGTAACTTTGCGCCCCGAAGGTAAGCTGGGTGACCATTGCGCAAAGGTGTCACTACAGTATGCGCCACGGGGCCGGGACGCACTGGCCGCTGCCAGCAGTTCTTGTACTGTGGACTTCTCTGTGGGGAATCGCCTCATCCTATCCGATCCCRAGCAGGACTAACGCCACTTTGTTGGAGAGGAAGTGGGAGAGCCTGTTCTCCCGCTCCTATCTGGGTATAAACGGGGGCAAATCGGAGCTGAACTGGGAGAGCGACTATTTGCAGGGCATTAAAAGAGTGCGGCGGCTGTACTGCAACGTGGGCATTGGGTTTCACCTGCAGGTGCTCCCGGATGGCAGGATAAGCGGAGTCCACAGCGAGAACCCATACAGTGAGTTTGCATCCCCGGAACTCAAAAGAGTGGAACTGGCATGAAAGTTAGGCGCCCCCGCGGTTTGCCTCTCTGCATGATATTTAATAAGCAGTGTCGGCATGGATGAAAGTTTCCCAAAGCAAAAACTGTATACAGAGCCTTGCATCCGTACTGTGCAAAGAATCCCCCCTCCCTCCCTCCTTCCCCTCCCTCCCTCTCCAACTCCCCGAGCCAAAAACATGACATGAATGCTTGACTTATTTTTACCCTGCGTCCCCTGCAGCAGGACACGCTCATGTCCCACTCAGCGCGCTGTTACACTTCACTCACGCTGCCCGACGTGCAAAATAGTTACAGCTGATTAGTGCAAATTGAGCACCATCCAAGTCGCAATGCACCTGCAAAGGTTCCACCCATCCCTGCTGCAGAGGCCAGCTGAACTGGACTGGGGGGCGCGCGCTGACTTTTTACCCCCCCCCCCCACCCCCCCACTCCCTCCTAACATTGTGTCTCATTCAGGTCTGATAGAGATCTCCACCGTGGACCGAGGGGTGATCAGCCTGTTCGGAGTGAGGAGTCAGCTGTTTGTCGCAATGAGCAGCAGGGGAAGGTTATACGGAACGGTAGGTTGCCAGTGCGCAGCTCCTGTCCCACATCCTGCTGACAGGAAGTTCACAGAGCTGCTGCATCCACTTTTATAAAGGGAGATTTAGTTCTCAACCCTCTGATGGTAGGAGGAGAGCTTCTGCTGTGTCATTTACCTCTGCGCTGTAAATATATAACAATTACAGGGGAAAAAAACTTCTGACAGATACAGTAAACTATAAGCCTGGTGATTCATTATTGATCATCTCAGTCTAATGCGGATTGATGCACTGCAAAAGAAAACTGCATCATTTAATTTCTTATCATAATTAAACTTAGATACTAACTGGAAAATAAGAGTTGAGTCAAGTTTAATCCCACTGAACACTTATGTGAAACCAAAAAGAAAAAAATTGTATAAGTCTTCTGGACGGGTTCTTCTCTAATGAAACACTTCGTCTCTCCTCCAAGAGACTTCTTCAGTCTGAGAGTTTCAGGCAAAATTCAGGCTTTTAAGCCCTGCCTCCATGTGACTGATTCTCACATCACATGGCTATCGTTGACACCTAATTAACACCTATTGTTAACAGGGTATGTTGCGGGTGTTTCGGAGAAACGGAGACATTTATTTTCTAAACATGATGTCCCAGTGGCTTTCAAACCCCAAAAC